GTAAAGCAATTTTTATAGACGACAAGACTTCAGCCAAACTATGACTCTTTAGACATGTGTAATAGATGCGATTATTATACAAAAAGATAATATCTGCTGTGCTAAAAATTAAATTAGAAATTAACGCATACTACTATAAAAGATGCGACTCTGCTTGGCTTGATGTGCTCTCGTCTGTACCTACAAGTTTCTGAAGGAAAACTGAAAATCGTGTGTCAATAACTCAATTCTCAATAAAAATCAATACTCGCACTCAAGATAGGTTATTTGTGCGGCGAAGGGCTAACAGTAAGCAAATCAGACCATTGCTGTTGAAAATTAGCTCCTATTGCCACTATAAAAGATTGAATTAGCTTGATCTGCTGTCGTCTCTACAAAAAGTGTCCGAAGGAAAACTGAAAATCGTGTGTCAATAAATGCTTGCACTCAAGATAAGCAAATCAGACCAATGCTGTTTAAAATTGTTGGCCCATTTGTTGTCTTGAAGCAGTGGTAGGGTTAATACTGGGACGTGTAAAAGTGCTTTTTTTAAGCCTATTTACAGAAATAAATGAGTTTTACGAGTTTTTAGCTCCTATTGCCGCTATAAAANTCAATTGATGAACGGCGCGCGCGCACCGCCGGCGGACAGCTTTCACCGGCTCAAAGGCTCCGCTGTGCATGTTTATTAACTTAACCATTTTAACAGGAATTCCTGGCCTCGCTCTTGTAGGGTAGACATGTTTGTATTCTAATAAAATTCTCGTTAAATGAAAACATGATCGGGCGTCATGCGATGTTATGCGCGAGTAGCTTTTACACCTACTCGTAGCTTTTACATGTTCCCGTAAACTTTTTTATTATGTTGAAAAGTAGAGAACTGTACATATTAGGAACTCATAACAATTTCCGACTCTTGATCATAGCTCTTTTTATAGCGGCACAAAATTTGTAAAAGCCCTTTTCTCTTTAAATAATTGGCTTACAATTTATAATTGTTTTACAAGTACCTAAAGATCGCATTTCAAATATTCACCTTTTAACTAGCTTTTATTTCGAAAAAGCTCTAATAGGCCAGNGCTGTCGTCTCTACAAAAAGTGTCCGAAGGAAAACTGAAAATCGTGTGTCAATAAATGCTCGCACTCAAGTTCGGTTATTTATGCGGCGAAGGGCTAACAGTAAGCACGTGAGACGCGTGTTGATTGAAGTTAGCTCCCATTGCCACGCTCAAAGGCTCAGCTGGGCTGGTCTGCTGTCGTCTCTACAAAAAGTGTCCGAAGGAAAACTGAAAATCGTGTGTCAATAAATGCTCGCACTCAAGTTCGGTTATTTATGCGGCGAAGGGCTAACTAGTAATTCTTAAGATTAGCGCGTTCAAACAAACAAACAAAAAACTCTTCAGCGTTTTAATATGAACTTGTTGTTGTTGATTTTTGGCGTCGAACCTTAGACCAGGCATACGGCTAGGCAACGTAGTCATGCAGGAGGATACAAGGAAGAGGGGCAGCCACAGTAGGTAACACAGAGTCGTTCAGGTGAGTGCCAGGAAGAGGTGCAGCAACCGCAGTTAAGGAACGTCTGGGACGAACAAGGATAGGCGCATCAAGCTCGTAAGCCTTGATAGGGTTACACTGGTTGAGGTGGCCCTTTTCAAGACTTTGAAGCCTGTGGGTAACAAACCATTGGACGTGGAGAGGGTCATTAATTATACGTATATTTTCTACTTTGCCGAACTTTAGCGCGAGAACGGTTTGTCCAAAACATATGAATTTGGTCTTATTCAATGCAGGATTAAGTGCCCTTCAACCGTCATGAAGACCACTTTTTGATAGAGTAAGTCCTTTACGCGGTATAACCGGAAAACCGAAAAAATGCCTCTTTCGGGGGCCCCCACCACTTAAGCACAACTCCGTCGAAGTCGAAAACTTAGGAGAGTCTTAATGGGCAACCAAAGAAGCCATTAAAACAATAAAATCTTTTGTAGGAATTATTTCCGATTTAAAAGCTAATTCTACTGGACTATAAATATTTTCACTCTATGTGTTGGAAAACTTAACTTTTTGACGAAGATATGGTTGTTAACCTTGTAGTTTACCGTTTACGTAAATTTTACAGTCCAAGTGTAACGTTTTGACACATATTTTAGTTGGCATGGTAATTGTAATCATAAAAAACTCGATTAAACGTTACAAGCACTGCCGAAAGTCGAACAATGACTTTCCTGGTGGCAACATTGCTCGCAACTGGAACTATTAAAAGTTGGTTTTTATATAACCTGGAATGTCATTTTTGTCTTTTTCTATATGAAAATCAGTTCATTCCTTTTTATTTTCACCTTGTTTTACATGCAAGGTGTTCATTTAATTGCAAAAATCTTAATATACAGGGTGTTTCTTGTAAGGTGTCAAGCCGAAGGCAGGTGATAGGTGAGGACTAGACCTATCGATTTCACCCCCATGTATGTTTTACGATTTTTCATAGTTTAGAAGTTATCGTTAATTTTGTGATTTTTTCAAATTGTATGACCTAGTAGGCTTTAAATTTTTTTATCTTTTTTTTGGGTCGATTTTTCTCAGATTTCTTTTTTTTTGACAGATTCCCTATTAATTGCAGATTTTTGAAAAAAATAATCAACTTCCTATCTTTGATGCAAGATACAAAATTTTTGCTAGAAACATAAAAAATATGCTTTTAGCGGAACATTCTGAAATTTTCAACTTAAAAGTTTGAAAAAAAAAAAGAACTTCCATAGGTCCAAAATAATTTTAAAAACTGCGCAGTTTTCTGAACTTTCATAATAACACAAAAAAACATGTACTTAATAGGCCATTATTTTCTGTAATCGCTCCACTAAAGTGGTAAGTCGGAGATTCCGTTACATGTTTTTGACTTTCTTAGGACTAAGTAATGTTTGCAATCCCTTAAGTTTACGTTATGTAGAACACATTTAGAGACAATAACTGAACAGATTTTTTTTTTTAACTTTTAAGTTGAAAATTTTAGAATGTTCCGCTAATAGCATATTTTTTATGTTTCTAGCAAAAATTTTGTATCTTGCATCAAAGATAGGAAGTTGATTATTTTTTTTAAAAATCTGCAATTAATAGGGAATCTGTCAAAAAAAAGAAATCTGAGAAAAGTCGACCCAAAAAAAAGATAAAAAAATTTAAAGCCTACTGGGTCATACAATTTGAAAAAATCACAAAATTAACGATAACTTCTAAACTATGAAAAATCGTAGAACATACATGGGGGTGAAATCGATAGGTCTAGTCCTCACCTATCACCTGCCTTCGGCTTGACACCTTACAAGAAACACCCTATATACGATTAACATATTCAGTTAATAGTCCCCACACATAATCGATAAGCTCTTTAAAACTAAACATAATTAATGCAAAATAAACTGTTAATATCTCCGATCAGCATACACATCAAACGAAATTGGACTAACATGCAAATAGTACACTATTACGCTTACGTAATACGTACGTCGGTAACCTTTACAGTAACAGTTGCGTTTAACGGTGACGGAGGCTGTACAGTTAGTCGCATTCCTAGAGCGGGGGGAGGGTGCAGGTGCAGGGAGGGGGCGGCGCCGGTGGAATGCGCCCGCGCATCTCCCTCGCGCTTTTAAGCCGGCCGTACACTCGAGCTGATTGAAACGCAATGGAGTGCAGTAGGCCCAGTACACCAGATGTCGCAATAAGCAATGTACACCCTTACTTAAACTACTCATATACTCTATGAGTTGATAATAATAGGTATCTTCCTACAGTTTTTTCATTAGAACAAAACAAAACAAAGACTTAAAATAACCTGTAGATAGTTATAATGGGTTAGAGATATCCATTTTCCTCTACAATTTATTCATTGATTAAAAGGGATAAGATATAATTTCTAAGATAAGTCATATCTGGGTTGAGGTATAAGACGATGAAACAAGTCGAAAATCTTATTATCAATCTAACTAAACTTTGTCGTCAAGCACGGGTTCGGTCTTCGTTGTTAGGTAAATCATTGCGGGCAGCTTATGGGCTACATTTGCAATCTAAGACTAGTACTAAGTGAACCTATTGTATAAACCTTAATTGTACTTAAATTATGTTGCATACCATAGGGAATGTTGTCGCAGACTATCGCCTAGACATGGAATTTTACAAATATCTCATGATAAACTGAACATAGTTATAACCATTTGACAAGCAAAGGAGTTCTAGACAAATTATCCTTATTCATATCTAAATCTCTGAGATAACTAAAAAGTTTATCTCCCGAAAGCACTAAAATGAAGAAAAATCGCTAAAAGCTCATAAAAACTTTACGACCAACGTTAAAATCGATTGACAGAAATCTATTTATCACTGATTCCTTTTAAACTAGTTTTCTAGTTTGATAAGAAATTGGTGTCATCACTGCAATGTCTACCAGAAAAACTGTATCTGTACATAAATTATATCGGGACTATTTATGTCGCTATTCCTTCCGCCCTCTCGTCCATTTTTGCGTGCCATTTCTCTACACAAGCACATCCCACCGTTTCAATTCTATCTGATTCATCACTAAAGATTTGTACCATTACCGTAGTTTTTATAAAGCCACCTGTTTAGGCGATGTCGCGAAGCAGCGCACGCGGCGTGGGCGGCGCCCGCCCAAGCGCCCGCAATGTAAACACACGCCGCTCGAGTGGCACGGGCTCAACAGTGCTCTTGTTTGCCGATTGAGACCTAATATGGCTTAAAGATGACAAACTGGAGTGGCTCAAGACGTCACTTGTGAATAATGAAAAACTTTTATGCTTTGTCACGTGTGTTTGAAGTTTATTTTCCATTCAATAGAATGGTAGCTGCTCTTCGTGCTAAAATGACGTATTTTTACCTTAACAAAAGACGTCCACTGCTGGATAAAGACCCTTCTTACCTCATTTAACGCATCCCATCCTCAATAGCAATAGTAGTGGTGGGTGTTGTCAATCAAAATGTCAATCAATATCTGATGCATGAAATTTGTTTGTCCACAGAAATCTGGCACTTGGCATTGGCATCCAGAACTTCCCCGAGGGGCTGGCGGTCAGTCTGCCGCTGCAGGCCGCGGGCTTCTCCGTATGGAGAGCTTTCTGGTAAGTTCTGCTACTAAGATACAGTCACTAAAAGTTTATTGTTCAAAGTAACAGTCAAGCCACATGAAGGGTAGGTATTAGGTTCTTACCTGTGGAATTGCAGTAATTGTCTTAGGGGGATTCGACCAAACAAGAGTAAATATTAATCTTAGAATAAATCGTCAGTGATTTACTCTCGGATAAAAGTTTGGTAGAATCGCGCCTTAAAGACCCACGAGTTCATACTTCTGCGCTTTTTTTTGGTTGTAATGTTTATTTACAGCTAAAACTTTAATGATGTCATTAATAGACATAATCCAAAACTTTTCGCAAATGTTTGTTCTTAAAATTAACTTTTTCGCCGTACACAGAGTACCTAATTACACAGGTAAACATAAACACCTAATGGTAATCGTCTCTTACATTAGTAATTTAGAACTGACAGCTTAATTATCAGTTGGTCTGTAACTGAAAACGCCATTGTCGTTTTGAATAGGTCAAGATAGAAGGCTATTACAAAATAGTAACCTAATGACAGACAGACTTCATAACTTCTATTTTAATTCGTAGTTTCATTATGATTTAGCTTTTGTGTTTATAATAATTCGTTATAACATCTGATTAGGTTACGTTTTCACTTTACAAAGCCTATTTGTTCATTTTGTTCATTAATCTTCAATCAATAATTAATCTAACTCTAAATTAAAACGACATTCTATAGCTGTCAATTCGCTAGGTTAATCCTAGATTAAAGAAAGTTCCGCAAGTGTTTTCCTGGTTCAGTTTGCTGTCGGCTCTCTTTTGTAATCATGAGTACCAAACACTAATGCTAATTCTTATTACGTATTTAAATTCATATCATTATGAACACGACGAACATTAGATTAGAGATCCGCCATTAGGTCTTGACATCACCCGATAAGTATTTTGTTTTGAAGTGGTGGTAGAGCAAGCTACATTTGGGATGGATATGTTTGTAAGGGTGGATTCGACCAAACAAGAGTAAATTTTAACATAAACTGTCAATGTGCCAGTTATACCAGGAGTTATTCTCGGATAAAAGTTTGGTCGATTAGGGCCTAAGTGTCCTGAATAGGGCCTACGAACTGGTTAAGAATTCGAGTACCAATAGAATGGTAAGCTTAAAACTGTCCCAAGAACAACAGACAACAAAAGGGCCAACACATCTTGTAGCAAGCATGCGCGGCTACATAAATATTTGGAACGTGTAAAAAAAGCCTGCAATACATACATATATGCTATTAAAGAGTTCGAATATGCCAATAAAGTCAGATTAAAACTGTCCCAAGAACATCAGACAACAAAAGGGCTAACACATCTTGTAGCAAGCATGCGCGGCTACAGAAATATTTGGAACGTGTAAAAAAAGCCTGCAATACATACATATATGCTATTAAAGAGTGAATATGCCAATAAAGTTAGATTAAAACTGTCCCAAGAACAACAGACAGCAAAAGGGCAAATACATCTTGTAGCAAGCATGCGCGGCTAGATAAATATTTGGAACGTGTAAAAAAGGCCTGTGATACATACATATTATATGCTATTAAAGAGTTTGAATATGCCAATAAAGTCAGATTAAAACTGTCCCAAGAACAACATACAACAAAAGGTCAAACACATCTTGTAGCAAGCATGCGCGGCTAGAGAAATATTTGGAACGTGTAAAAAGGGCCTGCGATACACACATAGGTATTATATGCTATTAAAGAGTTTGAATATGCCAATAAAGTCAGATTAAAACTGTCCAAAGAACAACATACAACAAAAGGGCAAACACATCTTGTAGCAAGCATGCGCGGCTAGATAAATATTTGCAACGTGTAAAAAAGGCCTGTGATACATACATATATGCTATTAAAGAGTTTGAATATGCCAATAAAGTCAGATTAAAACTGTCCCAAGAACAACAGACAACAAAAGGGCAAACACATCTTGTAGCAAGCATGCGCGGCTAGAGAATGCGCCGCTCGATCGTCGTTAGGCCGGATGCCAGCGCAGCCAGACTGGCCGACCCCATTCCTGCTCAGGCTAATTCATTTAGCGACAGTGGCCGCCCGGCCGCAACCAACGGTTAACTGCTGCTTTTCATACTAAAATTAACTAGCATTGCGCTTCTTGAGGCATTGGACACGTAAAGTTCAGTGTTCTTGTAGTTGATTCGTGGACGTCTTTGACTTTTCGATTTTGCTGCTCTAGATAGAGATGTATTTAGTGTTACGGCTTTAATCCCGATTTTGTTTGAATTCTTTCACAATTTCTAAGAAAACTGATTCCTAAATAATTTGCATGTGCTATAATAAGGTTGTTTTTATTAATCATGGCATCATTTGTCTAACGAATTACTAAGAGTACTTAGCTGAATCTGTAATATGTACTTCAGATAATTAACCCTAACTGCATTTATTGTAGAGATGTTAAACTTAGTTTTAACTGTTCCGCTGAAATTTTAATCGGTGTCTGCCACAGCCTGCCGCGATTAACTGCTACTTTTCAAAACAGTTTAACACCGTGCTTGTTATTTCTCATGTAAGTAGGTACTGTAGTGCTTTCAGGAAGCTGAAATTTCAGAGTCATCAGGAAAATTTTCTCACAGTATTTAGTTGAACTGTCTTTTTTTATCTGTCTTATTCTTTCCCATTTGACGTAAAATATTGTATTACAAAAAGTCGTCCTCTTCAGAATAGATTAAACTAACTACTGGATTTCATACAATAACTTAACGGCAGTGGATTTTAACGCGAACGCTAAGAATCGTATGCTATTTATTAGCTGGCTACATACAGGCAAAGGAATGTCAGAGCAAAAGGTTACATCTGCCTAGCGCAGTGCGGTACGTGCACGCATTGTAAACGTTACCAAATAGGTAAAAGTTGTAAATAGTCGCATTCCATTGGGTTCTCGGAACCGCTGGCGCCGCCGCCGCGGAGCGCCCGCGCCACCGAACTATGAATGCACTTACCCTGTGTGGATATGGCTTTTCAGTCGATCAAAACAAACCAATGAGGACTTTGTCAAGTAAAGATCTAGGTCTAGCTCGTAACTGATTGTCTGAAGTATGGAAGCAGCATGGTAGGGCGTGACATATTATATGACAGAGCTCAAAATTCTAAAGACTTGCTGACGTTCGACGTCACAAAAACACCCACCCGTGTCGCTCTCATACCTCAGCTACTGTTTCAGTTATGTGCTAGAACTGTAACCAAACTATAAAATGTTGAAATTCAATATGTCAACACTTTTAAAACATCTGAAATAAGAATCCGACAGTTAATTGACAGGAAACGATATGTATGTCTACGTTATATCCCTGTTAATAAAATATAGCAATGTGCGTCACTTAAAATATTTATCAAATTTATATAAACAATTTATGACATTATGTAATTATTCAACTTTCTTTCTCTAAACGCTTTGGCTTTGATTGTGGACATAAAACCGAAATAGCGATGAAATGGAGTGATGAGACGAAATGATCGGAAGCGACCGCCATCCGCCGCTTTACGAGTCGACTCTATTAATCGCGCGTTTTATGCCAACCGTGACGTTTATGGTTTGGCATAAATGTCAACTTTGGCGCGTCTTACAAGGTGTCAACTCAAATCTTCCATTACGCCAATAAAAGTCGGATTTGGTAAATAAATAATATTATATCGAACGGATAATCCATTTTTGGTCAACTTTATTTTGAGCCGATCATTGGATTTTGTTTTAATTAACTCTCGTAAGATTTGGTGCGGCTTATACCTAACTGATCGTGTGAAGAGATGAAAGTTTGCATAATTAGGATTCCCTTCAAAATACCGCTTATCAAAAATGTACTAGTGAATCTGCCGGGCTAGGAATTAGGATGTATGGCAAAATTTCGGCGATTTAAATGAGGCTTATCGAGCAAAATCGATAAAAGTTTATCTTTATCGAAACAACATTTTCATCGTAGTTTTCCTCGTACTGAAAATCGCGCGTCCATTATTTCGTACGTAACGGTCGCTTCCTAACTCTTTATGTGGAAGCGGCGGCAAGAATGCGCTCGAGTGGGAATCCTGCGGCGGAGGCCGGGAATGCGCGAGCGACGACCCCGCCACCCTGCGGCCGCGCGCGCCGAGTACCCTTAACCTGCACCGCGAATTTATTGCGAGAGTACGAAAACAACCTCTATGGTGTGCTTAGCCTATCCTTAAGTTTGCAAAAGTTTCAATTGCGAGTAAGGATATTAAGGATAATACTTAGTTACTTAAAAAATTTACACTCATATTTTTGTTACTGACTTTACAAACTTATTCAGATTGTTGACTGGACTCTATCAGGTTAACTTACATTTGAGATATAAAATTTACCGCATGCTGTACATAAATCACAAAATTACTTTTCTGAATTAATTTGAAACAATCCGTTTTCTAAAACTTACGAAAATTAAATTACAGCAGTTTTACGAATAAACATCGATGTTACAAAGTATCGATAAAACTTCCACTCAATCGATTCCTAGCATTATGATAAGTTGATAACAGAGCCAGCGTCGGGTAATAGAGGGTCTGTAGCGCGGAATGCAAGAAGCAGGAATGCGGTTCTGGCAAGAAGCGCCCCTAGCCGTCCGCTGTCCCGCGGCGAACGGGAAATATTTGCCAACGCGCTAACTCGCCCGATGATACCCATGCAAGTATTCTGAAATATTTAACGCGGTTTTTCGTATTCGTGTAATTTGCGCACAGCTCGTAGCATTTTTCGTAGCAATATTGGTAAAAAGAAGTATCAAGCAATATTGGTAAAATCGTAGTTAAGTAGTTAATTTCTTGCAACTCTTTCATATAGTTTATAAAGACCTGTTTGGGTATGCATTATTTTATTACTTTTTTACCCTTTTTGATGAAAAATAATTAGAAATCACGATCGGTTCCGAATTATACACAATTTTCAGCACCAAATGTGTGATATAGTAAAGAATTCGACTAACGTGTACCTATACCTAGAATCTATATTTTTGTACATATTAATAAAATAACGGCTATTCCGCTATAGACATTCTACATTGAAATAGTTTCCTGCAGTATCAATTACTGAAATTTTCCTGAATTTTAGAAGAACTCATGAAATCATGATCAATCGATAAAAGAGACGTCGTAGAAAAGAGGTTTTGTGTAGCGAAATGTAAAAATAGGGTCTAATGCGCCATTTACCTTTTATTTTTAACTTCCGGCGCTATAATAAATAGTAGATAGGTGGTTAAAAATACCTTCACAATCCAATAACTACCGAAAAACGCAATTACAGGACCTACAGTGGACACTGAAACTGATTTCCAGCGGTATGAATTCATTCTTTCGTGAAAAAAAGTCTTGAAAAAACATTGTCTAAATAGTGGTAATCGAGCTATTTTTACTAAACTGTACACGTGATGAGTACGGAGGCTGTGCCGCTACTACAGACGCGGTTGCGGAATGCAGGCTACAGGAATGCGGCCTGGGCACGAACGCTCGTGTGCGCTCCGCTATCGCCCAAACCCTGGACCATCGCCCATAGGACATCTGACGATACACAATGGGTTAAAGTCATATGGAAGATATGTATTATATTTGATAGGGATAAAAGTAACATCTAAACGAAATAGAGCTTATTATCACATGTTCGTAGTCTTCGAGACCCGGCCAAATTCCAACCGTGCGAAGTTGCGGGCATGATCTAGTGTTATGTGAATTGCTATTATAAAACATTTAAGATACTTACGCAACGTATCTTTGACATTCACATGACCGAATTTATGAAATTCCGAACCTACTTCTAGTGTTGCTACATACTAGAACGACTTTTCGTAGAGCTTTTTGCGGTTACTAGCATTTTTATTAAATACCTTATCTTAAGGTCTTGAAGCTTAAACTTATGCATGTTAAGTGTAAATAAGTTTTTGTCCCGCGATATGACATAATCAGAACAAGCAATGATCCATTGTTGTAGACAATGCGTCTAGTCAACTTTATCACCGCATATGACTCATAGTGACGTAGAGGCTAACATCACGCATTAGCTCCATACAGGTGCCTCAATCGTTAGGCAACTATTCTATCCATACAATAATCGTATCGATTCGATACAAAGCTCTCGGAATTCTTTCGTCCTTTTTTCTTGCCCATATAAATTCGCAGACGCCGCCGGCGCCATTGATTTGCGTGCAATTAACCCAGGTTATCGACACAAAGCTAGATCGTGTGAGCGTAATAAAAATATTTCTACGGGCTACAAAGAATCGGTGGGATACGGTGAGAACCGAAAAGTGGGCCGGCGGCTCGTTCCGGGGTGGGAGCTGACCGCGCGCGGCGGCCGGCCGGCGGAATCGCATGCTGTTTATACAGGCATCGCTATCTGGGCCCGAGAAAGTCGTCTATTTCGAAATTTTAGCGTTGCGTGAGCTCTGGTGCGATGTGTCGCTGCGGTGCCGTGGAGTCTGGTGGTGTTCGCGGCGAGCGGACGGCGGCGCGCTGTCTGCGTGCTCTTCCGGACCGCACCCGTCCGACCAGTCGCAGCGCACCGCCCGCTGCCCGCCTCGGGCGATCGGCCTTCAGAGTTAAATAATTAAATCGAGAGAGCGACGCCGCAGCCGCAGCCGCAGCGGGCCCCGAAGAAGCAGTCGCGGAAGGCGCTGCCAGCCTTGGTGGCGCTGATCTGCGCAATCGTGGCCGGTTTCTTGTGCGCAACACGCCGCCGCCGCACCTAATCTTCTCGAACGCCTCTATCCTGCTCGGTCGAATTGCTCTTTGATCGATCAACTTATGTAAAACAACGACTACATGTTATCACTATAACACCAACTATCGTGGGAAAATACCACTTCGTTAATGCGCACGGCTACTTCGTAACAGACGAGAATAAAGGCAGCGGCCTTAAGTAGTAACTTTCAAAGACCACTTGGATTAATAGCCTAATCATTATTATCTATCGACTATATTGGCAGTTAACCTTAAATAGGACTATTGTGTTCATATTGCTTAAATTGTGTTTAAGATAGGTCAACTTTAAAATACCATTGGTATTCTATGATTTGCGCATATGATTTAATGATCGTGATTAATGCCTAAACTGGTTAACGATAAATACCCGTTGTTTCATTTTAAGCAGGAATACCTACTCAGCTATTTTTGGTTTTGTTAGTCCAATAAAACTTCTCTGTAAAAGTTTCAATGAACAAAGCGAGCCGCATAAACAAATAAAAATAACCGAAAAATTAAATAAAAGTTTTGTACTTGTGAGCTTTTATTTAAATTCAACGTAGTTATTGAGTGACGGGCATCCTGTTTTACGGCTTGTCGGCGGCTCAACAGTCGGACGATTCTCCGAATCAGTGGATATTGTCGCAAATTGCCGCTTTCGCCACCCGCTGAATAATGCATGCGATAACATAACATCACGTCGCGCACCCGCCGCGCTCGCCCCGCGCCCTTCACCAGCTACACCAAACCCGTTTCCCCCGTACATTCTGTCTAGATACCTCCGTCATTCTAACATTCTAACCATTGTTACCTAACGTAAATTAAACTTGTCCATGTGCTCGTTATCATATCCTTACACAACACCGTCTAAACTTTCAAATATCTGCGATTCTCCTCCTGAGCATTGCTCTTAGTTTTACAATAGAGGGAAGCTTAGGTGTTGGTGTATGTAGAACAAAGTCCGGTACCAACTCGGCCTGCTCCTTCGAAATCGGAGCGAGTCGCCGTAGGCATTGGTAAAGTTTGGCGAGCGGCAGCGAGGATGGGAGGCATCAGCGCCGAGTATGGGCTGCCTCGTCGTGTGGGGTGGCCCTGGCGGCGTTTCCCACAGCGGCGGCTCCTCGACCAGTTCGTCGGAATGTGGTCGCGGCACCGGCCCGCACTTTCACCAAAACAATTCGTTAGCGGCCTCTTTCGGCATCGCACCGCACTCCACCACCCCGCCACCCGCACACGTGAAAATTAACAACACACTGATACTTGACTCCGTGATCGGCATTTTGGACACGAGGCCCTTTTAAAGTTCCGCACCGCTGAAAGCAATGAACTTCTGTGTACCTTTCTTTTCTTCGAATCTCGCGACTTGTCGCCGCTCGAAACGTAGTTGGTTTTATCGGTTCAGTTGACTCGACCGTCACTGTCGTAACTTTCAGTCTTTTTTATGTTTTACATTAAGCAAAGGCGTGTTAATCTGATGAATTGTATATGATTTATGTACTCTAGTCTGACATAAAGCTTTCATGAAACTGAAAAATCGCGATCTAAGTAGTATTTTCAGTCTTTCAGTAAATGAAACTTCGATTCATATGCATTAATAGCAGTAGGTCCTTTTCAGGGTACTTATATGTATGTACGCTTCCAAAAGCTTGCTCTATTACCACTTCGGGACAACATATCGGCTGATACTGAGCTGACATAAGATATTGCAAAAAATCCAATCCTGTTATTGACTCTTGATAAACTTTTTCGAATGTCCTTTCAACACAAGATGACTTACACCAACTTTATGACACAATTTTCATGAAAATGAAGTATCACTCACTGCACGTAGAACTTTTGATTCCGTGCTGGGATAAGTCAACTTTTTGCTTGCACTGCCTGTTATTGGCTGTTAAAAAACATTTATATGTAGAATATCCTCTCAACACAGATGACATACCAACTCTAGTCTGACCATAAAGTTTTCATGAAATTGAAAAGTCTGACTGCATGTAATGTTTCAGTCTGTCGGTAAATGTAGCTTCTAAATCTGATCTGACGTACGTCAACGTTTCATCATCAACAGCCCTTTACAGTCCACTGCTGGACTATGAGCCTCCTCCACTACAGTGGAGGGTTTTGCCATAATCTCCACGCTTGGCAGGCGGGTTGGAGATCACAGTTTAAAAGATTGATGTTTTTCAGAGAGCGCTGCTGCCCATTCTCTGTTTGATGTGTAGTCCCTAAGTCGCCTCTTACGACACCCGCGGGAAGAGTAGGGGTTGGTGACAAGTCAACGTTTCACATGCATTGGAATCCTGTTATTGGTTCTCGATCGTAATGTTATCTGCACACAAGCTCCATGTTACCTGGACTTAAAACTCTATTCCTATACGCCTAAATACTTATGTCGCTTGTCCCAGGTACGGCCAGCTGTCCGGCATGGTAGAGCCGGTGTTCGGCGTGCTGGGAGCAGTCGCGGTGGCGGCGGCCGAGCCCGCGCTGCCCTACGCGCTGGCATTCGCCGCCGGCGCCATGATCTACGTCGTCGCCGACGACATCATACCTGAAGCGAACGCTTCGTAAGTACTCTAACACCCGTTTTCACATACATTACTATGAGGCCTCACAGTTCGCGTGGACACACAGGGTCTCAAAAACCTATACATAGACTACTTGACCGGCGGAGTGACACACATGAACCAATCACAGAGCTCTTCAAAGCTGTTCGTTCGACTTCACATAGCGTTGCTGCTTCACTTATGCAAGTATCGTTTATGAATACTGGTGACAAATGTGCTGTATTGTGTGTTGCTATGGCTTAAAACACTATGCTTTTAAGATGCGCGTCGTCAAAATCCACAAGACCACAAGCTTTGTTAACTATAAATCGCGAAATGCAAACCGCATGCCATACTGCCTCGTAGAGTCAGTGGATGTGTCAAATTCGAGCCTGCTTATTATTTAACGTAGGCATTTAATTAGGCATCAATAGACATTTAGCTGGTGTTTAAAATGCTGGTCAACTTAGCGTGTCCTAGGCATTTCCTTAACCGAATAGTTGCTTTGATGGAACTAGTGCTGCACAACATGGCACTGGGCATATAGCAGAAAGTAGCATTTCGTAACTAAATGGCTTCGTTGGTAGGTTTCAATATCCGCCACTTTTCAAAGCTGATAAAAATCGATGATTTTGACTCTAAAATTGCTTCCTATAATTTTATTGTATTGAAAGTAGATCACATTTTCGTTTAAAATCATGGACGTACGATAGTGGGAAAGTGAAAAGCTGAGCCATAAGTATTGATTATCTTTTCAATATACTATCCTATCATCTCTTACTGAACGCTGTGGCAGTGATAACTGAGTGCCTTGTGGGTTGCTGACGCCATGATTTAAATATGTCGTCGCTCATGACATACCGAGGCATATACTTCAAAGAGCTCCAGCTCTACATTATATCTCATTAGTATTAATGTGTACTTCATATAAAGACCAATGATCGATTGATGAATAAACGAAAATAAACAGGGGTTTAAATCACTTCAAGATAGTCTAATTTTACCCTTTACTTACAAGATAGTAAAATAAAATCTCTGTCCTTGGGATTGACCTAAAAAAATCGTGAGGACGAGCAGGGCTTTGTTGTGACCCTCGCGAGACAGCTCGCGTCCGATGGCGGCCCGATAACAACGCCCTTCATTGCGTCTTCAAATAATACTAATTTTGCCATTTGAATTACTATAGAACGCGTTTTTACAGAAGATATGAATCGAACCTCCCTTACGGGTAGTTAGCGCACTATTCAGTCCCGTTTTGTTGTCTTCGATACAATATTCGTTTGGATTCCGCGGATACTTGTTATAATTGACGAGGGTCACGCCGTCGATTGTTCTGATTCATGTCAATTTCGATCGGGATCCACGTATGGCCGATAACCGTCAATAGATCGGGGCTCGTTGGGGTGATGCGAAGGACGTCCGAGACACTTCCCCTTAGCGACATGAGCTATTGTCCATCTTGCGCTTTGTTCGCGACCGGTCTTTGCTCCCTTCCGGGCTAATAAGAACCAGTTCAAGGACTGTTGGCGAATCATTGTTCACATGATCCACAAAATTGGGGGATACAAATTCATCATTGTAAACGTACTCTACTTCGTTTTATTCCCAAGAAGCTCTGAAATAGTTTCACGTAGAGATGTAAACAGTAGATGCTTTTTCTATAGAAAGTCTGTTTATTTTATAATTCTCAATCTTGTCCTGCACACTTTATGCACTTTTGGCACATTCAACACCTATTTTCACATTTCTTTAGTAAATCATGGGAAGTGATTTGTTGCATACGCGTCCTCATATTTTACATGCTTAAATGAGCTTTTCAAGCCGTTTAAAAGCTTATAAAAGCTGTTGTAATAAAATATGAAATAATAGCATTAAATATGGTATGTAGAGACTGGGGAGATATTTAAATGGGCGTAATAATTAACGTTATTAGAGTCGTATAAATGGGAATTAATTAGTGTTATGGTGCGCGTGGCATTGCGCCCGCACCTGACTCCCGAGGTGCGCGGGCGCATCTCGCGCCGATTAGCGTTAGAGTCTACAGTCAGGCCCATGTGGCACTTGCGTTTGTACGATATTGAAGAATATCTTCTTGTAAGATTACATTTTGTATCTAAATGGAATTGAATTAAAAATGTGGCTGTGATACAAATGATATTGTACTATGTAGCTGTTACCGTCTGCTTAATAAAAAGGCCAAATAATATTATAGTCTAAAATCTTTTAGGCACATTTCATTTCCATTCAGTCAGTCCATCATTCAAATCCAGGGTAAAAACGCCCTTACACGAGTGGCAGTCTTAGCACAACTTTTAAGTTTGTTAGTCTTCGTAAGCTTAAAGTCATAAATAATGCGTAAAATATAATCGATTATATTATCTTATCGTAAACGTGGTATGAAAAGTTAAATTCTCATAGTATCAACATACTTGGGAATGCAGAAGCAACAATGTTGCGTTAACTGCTGGTTCGTGTTGTCTGCGACAAAAATGCGCTTTACAGTAATAACATTCTTCTACCTCATTTAATTTAATGATAGAGACTTTACTGTGGATTTAGTATGCGAGCTAGATTTATTCTGTATCGCTGTAGGGGAATTACATAAGTACATTCACTTTATTTGTAAATTATTTTGCGATAAAGACTTGTACCCAGCTCTAAACAAAATAGTCCAGTCATAATTATATTCAGGTATTCATTGTAATTTCTTGATAACTCTCATCTTCCTATTTAAGAACTAATAACAATCGTTGCCATCTTCTCTTCTGAAACTATATCTTTTGGATATCCCCAATCTCGTTGGGTTTAAATATCGACCATGATGCCATATCGATGATGATGATAGGATAGCCTAAGAGTTACAGTGGTAAGATAAAGTAAAATTCCTTGCTTAATTTAATAAATAAGTTTCTTGCCCCCAAGAAAACTAAAATCATAATCGAATTGCTTAAATGCTTAACCTCTACATCACTAGATCTGTGTAGCGCATGTCTCCTCACAAACAAAATTTAGACATTACAAACTCATTATTCGTCTCACAGAAGTCAAAAAAATATCAGCTAAACGCATCAAACCGCAACAATAAGTGGCGCTGAGACAATAGGTCCGCTGCAATCGCGCGTGTAGGCGCGCTCGCGCCGCAAATAGTGGGCCCGAAATAGACGTCCGACACCCCGGACGTGCGTGCGCCGGCGCAACCCTCCGAGAACTTCGGCGAATAATAGCTCGGGTTCATCACCACTGTCTTTGAAGTTTGAACTCTTTACTATAAGTAGGTAGGTGGGTATTTGTCTGCCTTCTTGACGTGAGAATTCAGCAATAACCCAACCGGGAAGTATTCTACAAAAGATTGACCACTTTAAGGTATGTCTCACAAATATCGCTCAAAACTAGATAAGTTCAATTTCAATCGTGGATTCGGCTGTGATTGATCAAAATATTGAAATGAACCAATCAAAAAATATAATCTTTGCTTGAAACTGAATAGCGCTTTAAGCTTCCTTCTGCGATATGCATCATAGTAGGTATTCTAGCTAGGAATGAATCACAGATCTTCTCGAATCCAACTTCCATTACCAAAAGTAGTCTCATTGGGATCCCAGAAAAAAAACGCTTCCACCTCGATGGTATTGTATAATATTTTCTTGAAGCTGATTAAGAGCTTTGGATACGCATCATACTAGGTACTCCAGCTGGGAATGAGTCACAGAATTTCTAGTCTAACTTCCATTACCAAAAGTAGACTCATTGCGATCTCAGGAAATCGCCTCTACCCCGATGTATTGTATGAGTAATCACTAGTGCCACAAAGAAAGATGTGCTCCTTCCATAATTATGGCTGAAATATGAAAGTCATCAAGTAAAAATACATGGTAAATATTGATATTTATTTATAATTTGTATTGTTGGTCATGGAAGCGTTAAGAATATATTAAGATTATCATAAAAATTATGCAGATTATTAAGTAAATGCTGAGAATTGCAATAAACTGCATATTCTTTGCGAGTCATTCTCGCAATTGAAAACTATAGGTCGTTCAATTATGCCTTAAATGTACTTATGCGCGTAGTTTCCATTGAAATTCAATTGGCGTCCATAACCATACATCATTGAGTATTTCTCGCGAATGTAACAAAACATAAGATGCCTGTCAAAGTCATATTTATGGGTTAATCTTAATTAGACGCTCAAAAAAGCCTTTTGTTCGTTAAGTGCTTATTAAGAGTATGGGATTGTCAACCCGTATACAAAGTTGCATTCAAGACTGCCGATTCGAGAGGTGGCTAGTTCGATTCTCGTATATCGCTGAACTATCGGGGTTAACCATTGTGGTGCAACCACTTCCAATAACAGCATAAATATGTACATATTTGTATTAATTGGAGTGTATATCCATCAGTAATTTGTATTACCACTTTGCAAAGACATTACTTGTTAAAATATGGTTGAAAAACAAGTGAAACCAGTTATTGTCATTTTCAGTTATTTTAGTTAACTGATACATTATAGAGAATGGCACAGAATTGCCACCAGCGTTTGACGGTGAATCCACGCGCCGTGTCGCGGCGCTATCGGGACAGTGTGAAATTTTGTCTTGCTAGTCTATTTTAGTTAGTCTGATCGTCTAGACACATTTTGTCCTCGTTTCGTCGCATTGCAAATGCGAGAAACTGGTAAGGAACATGACTCAAAATAATGAACATTCACCAGACGATAACAGAATGAACTGCTTTAATTGGTTTTGTTTAACCTAACCTGTTATTTAAATACTAATCGAAATAATTACCTTCTTTTAAAATTACATGTTGATAGTATTAATTAGTGTTATTCGTTATATCATTATTAAGCTTTTGTTAATAGGAAATTGAAGTGAAACGTTTTTATTCATAGTTTTTTGTCACTCCTTGAGGAGTATACAGGGAGCATACAGTATTATGTAGGTATATTGATACACATAATATGTACACAGCATATATGTACAATACAGTGCCTTATTCACGTAACAAAACTTCAACGACAACAAATCGCTGAGTTGCGATCCTATCGAGTAATCGTTCTATCGAAATGACCCTTGTGAATACGGATTTAGAACGGTTTTTCAACGACTTCTGAACGTCAGCGATATTTTGACTGTGCAAAGATAGGGCAAAAATTTAAAATGAATCCTAAACTTTCCCAACCTTTCCATTTACATTACTGAATTTAGGATTATGAAAGCCCTCATCTGATGGTTGTCTAAGAAATTCTATGCCCGGCATGATCCTAATACCTATTGTATTACAATTTAACATCATGTCAATATGATGTCGATTCATTGGTCAAGTTAGGCACAACAAATTCGCCTCTGGATTATCATAATTTCAAAATGATAATGTGTCAATCTACGCTATAAGAAGACAAGGTTCGTGTTCGCCGATTCGTGCAGATCGATTGCCTTTGTGTCGTCGTTTGTTTTTGCGTCGCCGAACATTGTGTTCAGGTGATGCGTGTAAGATTATGCAGACACGAGTCGCGTCTGCGGCCGCCTCTGTCTATTTGCAGCGGGCGGAGGGCGGGCGGCACTCGCATTATGAAGTAAATCGGTGCGACGCGTGGGCTTGTCACCGTCTCGCCACTGTCAATAGTAATAAATATATGAAATAACGCGTTTGTTGCCGGGATAAGGCCGGTGACGCCGCTCTAGTTTGTCTATGCGCTGACGTCACTGTCTGGGAATCCGGCGCGCCGCTCGGACACTCCCTGACCTACCTCCAGACTGCTCGTGCAAGTTGCAGCTGTGCACCCTGGACTCCAGGAGTAACGGCACCTAAATTTTATTCAAAATTGTATTTATACTGTTGGCTGGATCTTGCGTCTTCTTCTCTGGTCTTTGTGCATTGCTTCTTCCTTAAACTGAAAACTAAAATGAGTATTGATGATTTTATTTCTAAGTAGTTTCTTTAGATTCTACGAAAAAAATATTAATGCTTATTCCTATTTAAAGATATCTGATCTTTTTACAGCCCAAGTGCTGAATATTGCTGTAAATTTTTTGGCTAGTTTCAGTCACAAATATTGTACCTAACATTCGAAATGGATAGTATCTATAAATCCTCCGTTTATATTGTGTCTTGTTTCATAACTTTATTACCTAGTAGACTTTAGAAGCTTTTGCAAAATATTTTTTCCGCTTATTTACGCTAGATGCCAAGAAATTAATTGTTCTTAACAGCCAATTTGGTTTCAAATCAGCTTCGTAGGCTCTTGAATTCCTGCTGTTTTCTGCGTGATGTCAGATTGTGACATTTGAGTGCTGTCCGTGTGCCGGGCGGGGTTTCCCGCGCTACGTGACGGGAATTTGTCGCGTGGTCATATCTTTAGCTTAAGGCACTGAATACGCTGTCGCCTTTTTTTTTCTATGAAATTGGGAATACATGTAAATAAGGAGAGGCTTTCAGGCTTGTGGTTGCTATCTGTGTGTGAAACATTTTAATTTACTTATAGTAAAAAAAGATATCGCGAAAACTTATCCATTTTATTAGAGACGTCGAAATATGTGTTCGTACTCTATCACCGCAACTAAGTTAATAGGTTCCTGAAAAATTAGTTTATGTAGTAGGTACTCCGTGTAAACTAACCCTAATCCTCACTGTGTTACATGCCATCTTTTGCGCAAATCCTGAAAAATAAAACATTTAATGGATTCTGTGAAAAAAGAAAAATACCCGTATTCTAATGAATGATTACTTTTCATTTCCATTTACGTTATAAATCGGGCGAATCTTACTTTTATTTCTAGATTTACTGTAAACTTGAATGTATTCACATTAAATCATGAATGATGTATTCATGATTTTCGCCAACGTTTTACATTTATATCACGCTCGTGGAGAATCAACCGAGTCCCGGAGCTATGCATCAAGCAACGCTTCTGAGAAGTTGACATTGACGTCATCAGAACGTCCGAATCTATAATAACACGCTCGCACGCTCCTAAAGGTTATATCGATTGTTAATAAAAATAAGTGTTTTGTTATTTAAGCTTTATGTAAAACTGCAGAAAATAGATACTTGAAAAATTTTAAAGAACTAAGTTTTGTTTCACATTGGAGAACTTCATTATATTAACTGCTTGGTAATTAACTTGCCGCTCTTGAAACTTAGTTTGATGTGGTAGACTAAAATCGCAAATTTACATAAAAGCATTAAAGACATCATGCGGCATGCCGCGAGTGGTAGTAACGACGATCCTACCACATACTAGCGTCTACCGCTTGCCGTCAAGCCGGAAATCGTAACCGCGCGGTAACGCATTTTTCAAATAACTCTGCTCATATTAGCTTATTGTCGTGCCAGACACACGCACATTTATCAGAATGCTTTATAACTTCATACTAAATAGCTCAACGTAGCTCGAATTTGACAGCAGCTAAGTACGAACGTGCGGTCACTTGTATGGCGGTGGCATAAAGCTACTAGGAATCGCTTTATTGTAATGGGCTGTTATTCCAGCTAGTGGATTCCGGTCGGCTGTCAATGAGCATTGTTTCTTTAATAAAGCCTGATTTACATTAAAACAGCTAGTGCCATAAGTGACTATTCCACTAGTTTTGACATAACCAGTTCAAACATTACGAAATTATTTTGGATATCAATTTTAAGTGTAGCAAGTTCGGAATGTAATCTAATATTGATTTGACTCAAATGATCATGATGATTGATTATAATAGGAAGGTGACACGTTTTGCATGTTCAAAATTAATTTGCAATATTGACTTGATTTTGCGAGTTTCCTTTAGGGCATGCAAGAAAGTGTAAACGCGGCTTTACCTGCGCGTGAGACGCGCGCAGTTACTCTTTCCGATATCGTAATTTTGCCACCTCGTTCATATTCAAATGTCGTTTGCTCGTTATTTCTCAATGGCCGGCATTGTGACGACAGCATTTTATAACGGAGCGGTTTATGCATGAATGTACATACAATTATGTATATGAACAAGTTGCGTCAGCCGCTGGAAACTTTATATTTTATTAACACTGAATAAGCGGCGCTATTGATGTGGTCGATGTTTTTAGTCTTGAACACAGAATTTTAATTGATCACACTATAAAAGTGTGATAATAATGGATGAACGTCCACGTCATTTTACACAAATATGATTTTGACATTTTCACGACAGTAAATCAACAATACAATAGCCTTACATCTTGTCAGTTAAGACTACCGATTGGATTTCTTTTTATAAAAATTATACATAACATTGATAAAACTTAAATAATTTTGTATTAGTTTTTTGTTTCAAATGAAATTGCTTTATTGCTTGTTCATTTATCTTTATTTTAAAGGCATTATTACCAACTACAAATGACTAAAATTTTTTGCACCGCCTTACTCTTTCTGCATGACCCGTGGTTGACTGGCAGAGAATGCCATCCGGCATTAAGTCCGCCACAGTGCATTTGTTACCTTGTGTGCTGAAGTATAAATAAATAAATAAATAAAACCGTTTTTGTCCGCAGCGGTAACGGTAAGTTGGCGACGTGGGGCTGCATCATCGGCTTCACCGTCATGATGTGCCTGGACGTGGGGCTTGGCTAACGCCCCGATCGCCCCCACAACGACCCGCGCGACCACCGGACCCACACGAAGCGGCTTCTCAGGATCATTCACTAGGCAGTAGGTACATCTGACGTTATGTAAACTTGACATAAAGCAAGTATTTGGCACTTGATCGACATGCTTTTGTTTTTAGGCGATGGCTATCAAAGAAATACAGTGCTAGTTATTTGTGAAAACAAAAGAAATACAATATCGTATTGTATCTGTGTGCAACCTATGTGAAAATTAATCATTGTCAGACTATTTGAACCTTCAACTCATATATTGCTTGTATTGAAAAATGACGCTCATGACTCGATTCTAACTTTATCATGGGCTCAAACCTGTGAATAATCGAATATCTTTATGATATTCAATACTATGTTTCTCCAATCGCATGCTGAAATCTTTGCTTAAAGGGAGTTTTGTATGTTGTTTCAAAATACACACCCCTGTGCATAATGTATAAACTGATACAGGTTATGTACTACTTGCTTGCTAAGTACTTATACTATTCTACATTTAATTTGTCAATTCATTTTAATCAATTAATGATCTAACTAAGCCCGTCTCTATCTTAATAGAGTCGTCTTATCAATGAAACAGTTCTTTTTCCTTAAACATTTGTATTTTTTGATAAAATAGTCGTAAATAATGTTCTATTTAAGGATTAATGTCTCATGGGAACTACCGCACAATACTTAAATGCATTATTTTTGTTAATGTTGATGTCGAAATAATTAGTTTTTGTAAAGTTGTCGATCCTGAGAAGATAGCGAGATATTGTTAAGTACTTCCACGTAAAGACTAAGCGATGATATGTGATGTTATTTAATTTAGTGTTCTTATCATGGCGTGTGCTGTTTAGAAAGTAACTTTTAAGAAGAGAGCGTATCTTTACCTTAAAGGCCGGCAACGCACCTGTAACGCCCTTGGGACTGCGTGTGTCTATGGGCGACGGTAATCACTTACCATCAGGTGATCCGTCTGCTCGTTTGCCTCCTGTCACAAAAAAAAAACTTAACTGCAAGTAGATTACCCGTGAAAGTGCTTGAGAATCGCGCTCCAGCCCAGTGAGGGAACCTACACCTAAGACTACATTCTAATATTAAAGTAGGTTTAAAACCTGAATATGAATCTGTTTTCATTCATTAGAATTTTTATACATTTAAATGAGAGTTAAAGTAGAGTTTGGTAATAGTTTTAAAGCCGGTCACAGACCACTATCAATTGCAGTGGCTCTTAAGAATGAATATAAACGTCGCTGCAGTACGTGGTGTGTAAAACTGAGACCATACTAAACCGTCATCATTCATACCTTAAAAATCACTTGGACAAAATCATACTGTGTTGTCTAAGTTTCAGTTCTTTCTAAGTCTATTAAGTACTTATGCAATGCGATGCTGTAGGTATAAATGAGCTTTAAGCATTTTTTTCTACCATTGCCAACAATCGGTAGCCGAAATATACTTAAATCCTCCATATAGAGTTCCTTTGTATGAAGTTCTCTGTATTCTCAAACCAATGAAATAACCCAAAGTGACACATAATAATTAAATTGGAATTCGTTGTACATTATGTATAAAATATTTATATGTATAGTGTGTACAAAACGGCTGTAGACGCAAGCACGAGATAATAGAGAATGTGCCACTTAATTTCTAAATATGATATTGAATCATAACTTGGAAGCGATGCCCAATATTAGACGAATAAAAGCATAATTGTTAATAATATAATTCAATTATTAACGAACATCAATTTATATATTAGCGTTTTAATGTCAAGACTTCAAGAGTAATGAAATTACTACATACTTGATGATATTTTACTTTCCGACTTGAAATCATTGATAGAACCTATCGTTTTAACATTTCTATAGATGAATTAGTGTATATAATTTAGATCTAAGTGAAGTGTGAGTTGTTTGACAAGCACCAATAAGTTAGTTTAAATTATTACCAAGACAATATTTGGCGTTTGTCGAATGAAACACAAATCCGCAGCATTTACTAAAGAAATTACGACGCATGTCTAGCCCTTACGTCATCTCACTCCTTATGTGGCCTAGCCATCCCTGCTAGGAGTACTCGAATTATTTAATATTTATATTAACTATCACTATCAACTAGAAGATGCAAAGTAAACTCTCGTGCGCTGTAATTAAGCTCAATGCACATGCGCGATGCATTGCTATAGTTTCATTAACTTGTTTATGTTCCACGCCAGATTGCACTTTACTTCTAAATGATAGAGCAGCATTTCATTTGAGGGTTCATAAGGAGTGAGACTTGTACGATAGTTAGTACTAATAAATTAATGTGTGGTTATACGGTTATTAGATAATTGCCAGCTAAAAATCCACAACGTCAATTTATTACAAAGCAGTAATATTTTCCACTTGTAAAAAAGTATTAATAGAGATTTTTATTGAAAATTTGAATTATAATTTTTATATGTATTAATATTAGAAAAATTTATTTTGATTAATGATTTCATTTAAAATTATAATGTTATTTTATTGAATTTCTGTACTAACAAAAGTATTGATAAACCGGTGGCACAGTGAAAATACGAATTTGTTACTTTATTGTAATTATTTTATTTTATTTTTACATTATAAGAAATTATGCAGCATCTAATGAATTTTATTTACTCAATCCCCTTCCGTAAAACATTGCGTGTAGCACTTCGTTCGTTTCAGCTAAATGACGTCCACTGCTGGACAAAGGCATAGCACTTAAAATGAACTTTTAAATTAATTAGAAGATTAGCTGTAAGTTGAATATAATGGGATCGAGATACTGAGCGCCAGTTGTAAAGATCAGAAAATCATAAACCCAGACTTTCTGCCTTACACCTATTTTTTAAAAACGCTGTAATAGTTATTATGCTGTGTAAGAAATAAATAAAATTACTCTCTTAATTATCTACTTTAGAACTCTCGTAACTACTGATTAATTCTTCGCTGTCAATTAAATTTTTCTTACTATTTCTTTCATACATAAGTTGGATGTATCGCGCCAGTTATAAATAGTAACTTACTATAATTAAAACCAACAATTACTTAACATAATTACTTTTATTATATTTATGGAATTTAACGCCGTTTCCGTTGTCTGGGATGAAGTTATTAACTAGCCGTTAATAGTTTTTGTTAAATATCCAACTGTAACATTCCGTGCGTCTGCAGTATCTTTTAATTACTGAACCTTCCTAATTATAGGTACGCGACTGTAAAAGAGTTGTATTAGAATTTTGGAACAGGAGAAGAAATTTGGGTAAAACTGGGTGTCACTTTACGAGATGCGACTACTTTTGGTGGCTCACCCGAAGCTCTTTTTCGGTGCTTCATAAGGTAAGTACATACATACATTCAAATTGCTACTAAACAGCTAGAGTATTTTGCATCTCAACTCAACTAGGTAAAAAAGTCAAGTAAGCACGCTAAGTAACTACATATCTGAAAATCTATACTTATATTATAAATGCGAAAGTAACTGTCTGTCTGTCTGTCTCGCTTTCACGCCTAAACCATTGAACCGATTTTGATGAAATTTGGCAGGGAGATAGTTTTGAGTCCTGGGAAAGGACATAGGATAGTTTTTATCTCGATTTTTTAAACAGGAACGCGCGCGATAAAGTTTTTCTGTGACAGACAAAATTTTACACGGGCGAAGCCGCGGGCGGAAAGCTAGTACCTTATAAAAAGGCATATTAGGCAAGCAACTACACTCAGGAGGATTTGATGAGTGCTACTGACAACGCCACTCTTGTGGCGGAGTTTTAGGCTGACACTGTGTAGGTTTGTTGTCGACGAAGAAGAAAAAGAAGATAGAGGCATATTGTCGACGAAGAAGAAGAAGAAGAAAATCTGATGATATACCAAGCACCGACTGCATCTACAAAGCTTCCCATGTTAGAAAAGTAAACACATAATATAATGTGTTATTACCTTCGAATTGTGAAACAACGGGTAGGTAGGTACATTGTGTTACACATGCGAAAGCTCCCAGTAGGTAATCGTAAGTATCTAGCGTAACGCACCGCTGCAACTGTAAAAGCAGCCGTGTATATGAACCCTAAAATAGTACAGCGTCATCGCCATATCTCCCCATAACAGTTAACTGTTAAAAATATTACGTCACGTTTGCTTCACACCGCCCATTTACTTTTTAATTACCCGCATAGGTGGGTGGCGCCAATTCCGAGTTTATTATTGCTGTAAGGTAAACATTGCAGCGGTTAGCCGTGTTAACATGTCAAAAGCGTCGTACTGGCACAAAGCTGATTGGTTTTTTCATGTGGGTGTAGATAGGTCTTGTAGTTTATCAGCGAATGATTACAATGTTTACTTTTTAAATATACGTAAACAAACAAACTTGAAGTTTTGATAATAATGAACTGTAAGGGTACAGGATATTGAAGTTTCAAGAGAGACTCGATACTCTTGCTGAAGTAGACTGAGTTATAAGTCATGGAAATAACACTGATACCTAGATTAAGTTTTACTCCATCTATGTATAATGTAAAATAACTTGCACGTGGAAGCATACACATAGTTACAGAATTGAACCCTGTCCTTTAACTTTAGAATAACCCACTCCCACAGCGACTACCGAGTTTCCGCTGCTGCATCATGGAATCGAATACTGGTGTACCTTTTTACACCATATACCTACTTAAATAACTGGTAAAAATTAACGAATAAGTTAATTAGGTACCTACTGGCATTGTGCATTTTGTTACTATTGATGTAAATGTGATTGGCAGTTATTTTTCCCTTGTTTTAAACAAACAATTTTATGACGAAATACCCAGAAGATAAGATTGCTGCAAGTACCACCAATGACGCAAATTTAGCAAGTAAGTACATAATTAAATTAAATACGTAAATACCCGACCATAGGGAGGACAATAATAGACTGATTTACCTAATTAGTGTTAGTCTTTTCCGCAAAGTTAATTATTTTTGTAAATTTTTAATATTATTATTTTATATAAATGTTCCGAGAATGGTGTGTAATCAACAGGAAAAATTGCACCTACCTTTAACATAAAATACTGTGTTCTAAATATCTATTTATATAACATAAAAAAAACTAATTAACAAAAATCTAAATTCTGTTATCAGTATGTCGATACTAAAAGAAATACACAAATTAATTGCTGTGAATTGTAAAGGAAGTCTGTATTTATCTATAATATAAAAATGAATCGCAAAATGTGTTGGTAAGCGCATAACTCAATAACGCCTGGACCAATTTTACCAATTCTTTTTTTCAATGTTCGTTGAAGTCCAAGGATGGTTTTACGGCGAGAAAAAATCGAATAATCTCCGGGAAAACCCTAAAAAAACTCGAAGCTTCACCCCTAAGGGAGTAAAACAGGGTCCACGCGTACGAAGTCGCGGGCGGCCGCTATAGTATAACTATAAAAAATACTAGGAACTTAAAAGCTCTTGCCTGTGTAATTAATTATGATTGATTACTACTAAGTATAAGAGTCAATAAGTGTTAAGTCTAGATATCCACTTAATTTGGAACTAAGTCCCCAACAAGTAGGTTGTCTAGGTAGAGCTTGTAGATAGATAGGATACTCAAGAATTAGGTGTCGCAAAATAATAATCCAAGTCTCCGAACATTTATGTTCCTCCACTTACATTTGCGCCCAGAGGGATTCGAACCTACAACTATAGCTTGTACCTAATCCAGTTACAAGATCGTCTTGTATTTATTGTTTTTATTTAAAAAAGAATGCGGATTTACTTTTTGAAAATAATTGAAGTGAAATAATCAACGCGAAGAACGTTTTGTAATTACTTTATTGCATGACGTGTCTTACAAGCGCCGTGTAAAACTTCGTGGCAAATAATTTAATTGTTTTCAGTTACAGTGCATTTCGCTGACCACTTTTGGAGAGCAATTAGTGGGTAGTAAGCACATGAATTCACTTAGTTTCAGCAAGACGAGGATACACCACGCACTTCCCTGAAACTTGTACGAATTTTCCTAGGAAATTCGTCTGAAAACTGAAAAAATGCGTCTTTAACTTTAGTTTCGCTTAGGTATCTGCCAATTAAATTAACTACGCATGAACACACATAGATCGGGTCTTGTTAGTTTATAATGGCATGTTATTTTGCAACACAGTAAGTACGTGAATTTCAAGCCTAGACAAACTTTTCTTTCAAACAAAGACTATGGTATATTTTCCGGAAGCAAACTTCTATTGTTTATAAAATCAAAACCGCTAACCGATAGCCAGATGAACCTTGTTTTCAGCGTAAGCATATACACCGCCGTTGATTTACCACGTAGCGAGTTATTTATTAAGTTATATGATTAGCTAACCTACCTTTTCTAGTAACTTTTCCTGAATTGGTAATTTTATAATTCCGGTTAAAACGCGACAACGCATCGTGCTTAAAATCTCTTTGGGGCTCCGGGCTTTTAATTATGTATGTACTCTACCTTCCTGCAAATATTTAGATCTTGAGCTCTGTGAAATACCTAGCAGAATGCATCTTGAGTGGTCATGACCGCATGGAATGTCAAATACCAAATACCGTCAAACAAAATAATGTTATATGTGTATAGGGTTCGACATTTGACTTCTCCCATTGTCAATCTCAATGCATGCCGCGTGCCTACAAACGCCTCCGTTCCCAACGGCACAGGACGCATACGCATCCTGCACGAGGTGGAAGGAATGTTGACGGTTACCAATTGCATTAGAAAAATCGCCCAAAGGGCGCGCGGCGCTTCGCGGCCGTTGACCCGGCAGCGTGCATCCTTAGTAGCGTAACACATTATATCGCGAATATTACGTGTTCATTTCAGACTTTCAAGATGGATAATTTTGGATTTGAAGAATTGCTGAAGAAATTTGAAGACGACCAGAAAAGTTGTGATTTTGATTTGGGAATTTAGGAAAATGTGCCTACAACTTACCTAGTAGGTACGTTTATTTTACCTCTAGCTTTTACCTAGTAGGTAAGTTAATTGGCTGATAATTTTTTCTCAGAACTAAAGTTTTGTCCGCATTAGGCGTGATATAATACATAAGGATTTGTACCATTCGATCAAAACATATTACATATATTAATCTGTGATTACAAAAATCACAAAATAACGAAGCTTTGCTACGAATATTAAGCGAGCTTTTGACATGTAAAAGCGACATAACTGCCACGCAGCGTAGTTTTTTTTTAATCCACAACGAGGAAGGTCTTGGCCTGTTTAGCCTTCTTCAGGCTAGGTGTGTTATGCGCCTAACACCCGAATTCCGGTGCGTACGCGCCTCTTGCCGATAAAACCCTCTCAATGGAATCTGAGGCATGTTTACATATGGCGACGACGGTGGCACGCGCTGGCCTACGCGCTCATAGGGCTGCCAGATATACGGCTTCAGGGACTTATTCAACCGGGCTAGGATGCACGTCGTGATAAAATCTTATCGATTATTTTAGGCGACAAATGCGTAAATTCTATAAAAGGGCGGAAAAGCTTATCGCGGCGCGCAATAGGCCTAGGACTAGGAGTCTCTACTATTCGTGAATGACTTCAACAGTAGAGCTAATACAATAACAACAAGATATAATGAACCTTGAAGTACGATTTTATGTTGCCAAAATTACAAATTGCGACCAATAGTGAACGATTTATCTTGCACTTGCTCGTAAATAGACGAATTTTCCCATTTTCTTTCCCCTCCGAGTGTAGCTCTTCTTATTATTTAGGTAGATACATAACCATTAACTGTTAGGTAGAGTCTCATAATATCCTAAAACAATCAAGTCATATAGCGACTGGGACATACATTTCAACCTCGCTGTAATAGAGCATAAGGAAAATTATAGGTATTTCAGAGACGTAAGTCCATAGAGCAAAGAGAAAAGATACCTTAACGAAAACCATAACATTTTAAAATCAGTTGAAAATTAAAACAATTGTGTTGGAATAAAATAATGAAATACTTCAAAATTAAAGCCATTAATAAAACAAATTGGTTAAACGATCCCAAATTCCCAACACACACGATGGCAAGTAGATATGCCCTCAGCTCGCGATTGTGAATCATTTATCAAAATGATTCAATAACACGCCATGATTAAGTTACATAAGGGCTTCGTACTGAGCCATTTCATTAATTCCATCAGTTTACTTTTCATTCCCTGCTTTTATATTACCATTAAAAGTAAACTGAATGGTCGTTAACGCGATGAGTTAAAAGAGAAAATGTTTTATTATGATAAGTTATAAAATAACTTGATTGAATTATCTACTATGAGAACATTATGAACTCAAGTCGTTTATTTTTCTTTGATGCCTGCACAAATATCTTTATAGGCATCAATCCAAGTTATTTCAATCCTAAGGAACTTTAGAGCTTGTATGAAGTAAGACATATGCCTATATTGAAAGATTACAATGCCAATAAAACTCGTAGAAGATGCTGAAAATTTCAGATATATAGAAGTATGAAAACCTAAAAAGAAATGATTTGATTTGATCTTTTCAAGATCAAAACCGTAAAAGAACAAGACCAAAAAACTATTGTGAGTACTTTAGGACATAATTAGCATTCGCATTAAGTTTGTTTATAAAATAAAGATACCTAAAACTATTGACTTCTGTCTACATATTTAGACTATTTTCTAATTGCGCTCCCATAAATAATGTTCTAAATTCGGCGTTACAGACAGAAAATCAAAGCAGATACATAAAATAATAAATCAATTGCATTGATAGATCATTATCACTAAAGAAACAGTAATCTCCTTAACATTTCAATCCTTTATTCGCCGGCTCAACACAACGCAAGATAGAGCCGTCCCGCGCGCACAATAGGCGACCACGGAACGAATATAAAATGATCACCCCGTCTGTTTATTAGGATTTATGGGATGTGGCGCGATAAATAAACGAATAACGGTGGCGTACGTCTTCGACATTACGAGATGAGTGCATTCGATCGATGGTGTGCTACGGCCTCATTTCCATTCATCGGTGTTTGTTGACAATGCGCCGGCCGGCGGTCAGAGGGCGCGGCGGGGTGCCGCTGCAGTCAGCCGCGTGCGCCCGCGCCCCTCGCACGCTGCAGCGATGCACGCGCAGCGCGCCCGCGCCGATGGACTATTACAGCTTTGTTTACATCTCCACGTCGCCGCACAAACGCGTAAGTTATGCATGTCCCGTGTGCGTATGCGCATATTTTCACAATGCGCCCGATTCAATACGCGAGCCGTTTGTTTATTTACATTCTACGCTGCGCCGTTTCACTTCGTAATCGGCAACTTTGATAATTTAATATTACGTGTGCGACGTAAACGCAATTGACGTTTCCAGTGATGTTGGTACAATTAATTTTTGTAGACGCAGAACGAAACTGACGAAACTGTAAATTCGCTTCGTACAAAATGTGTAACCGTTAGTGCATCGAATGCACGTGCTGCGTAGATGCGGGCGATTGTGGACCTTATCTTGATGGGTTAGGGTATGAATTGAGCAGGGCACGGCTACAGACGACATCGGAAGTGGCCAGCGAGCAGGGGGGCTGCGGCGGCGCACACCTGCCTGTCACGCCGTATTTGCGCCATCACTTGGTTAGCATCGTTTGAAGCTATCTATCTATCTATTAAAATGAAGATTAGGAGTCGTCCAAAGTGAAACAGTTATTGGAAAATCCCCAAACAATAAAACGGTAGTTACAATTATCTTTGCATTTGCATTACGGATTTTCCAAACAGATACTTAGATACTGTTGTATAGGTAAATGAGTTACAAGTTAGCTATCTACTAGTTAACATAAAACTTAAAAAAATGTAGACAAAAACTAAAACCGCCAAACAATTTTGCGTACCATGTTTATTTACTTTAACAACTATAACTTTTTGCAATAATGAGTCCTGAATTATTTATCTTCTTAAAATTTAAACATTGGTTATAATAAAATCCCATTGTTTTTAAACCTGACATATCAATACGAGTATAACCGGATACTGAACCGAACTCTACATTTCACTATTTTGACTCTCCCTTGAGGAAGAAGTTATTTTTAACAACAAACCCCAATGTTTGCTTTAGGCGAGGATAGTATTGGGGACTCGTATTGCATTATCAGCTGCTACTAACAAAACATAAGAAATAGAAGAGCTATTTCAGCAGATCACTATTTTAAGCATAGTCACGTTATAGAAATCCGTAACATTGTTGTTTATGCAAAATTGAACTTAGTAACATATCTAAGTTAATCAATAACGATATTAAGCGTAACATTCTTGCTAAAATAAATAATCAGAGCATAATGTAAATAAAAAATGTATTTATTGCCTTCGAACCATTTATACATAGATACAGGAAGAGAGACAGCTCTAATGCCCATTTAATTGGCTTCAAATATTGTCATAGATTATACTTAACAGGGTATGGTGACGTATAACAGAAATAATATATATGTTACGGCTAAAGATAGGTGTGAACATAAACTTAAGATTAGCCGGCTAAACTTAAGTTTATTTTCGACGAGGTGTTAATGTTACTTTCTTCTATCTTTAGCCGGCTAAACTTAAGTGTAACCGCAGGCCCTTGGCTAAAAATGTAGAAGGAAATGGAAAAGGAAACAACGTAATAATGTTTACTATTTTGACACGAAAACTTTATTAAAACATTATCACTTTCATTACACATACTTTTATGTACCTATGTAGGTATTCAAAATTACAATTATTACAATAACAAAATATTAATTACTTAAAATAATATCTACCTAATCATTAAAATAAAATAATAAGGAACCATTTGGTCATTAAAGGATCTTCTGTAGGTATTTAAAATTACAAAATGCGCGTTGTCTCCCCACCGCCCCCTCAAGCCCTCCGCCGGCCGGGCGCGCCCATAGAATACATTTTTAGCCGTTTCGTTTTGGCTAATGTGCACATTAGCCGGCTAAAGATGGAATATCACGACGCAAACTAACATGTTATCGAACTTTAGCTGCTTCTCGAAGATAAACTTAAGTTTAGCCGTCTAATCTTAAGTTTACGTTCACACCTATCTTTAACCGTAACATATATATCTCGTGAAATACGTGCGATCACTCACGTAGGGATTTTCCTAGTTTCCGATGTTAAAACAATCTTCACGAGCGACCTCATTCCAATAGCTTACAAAATATTTATATTTTGTAGAAGAAAAGTCTGGGTTGTTCTGTTTCTTTTCAATTTTAGAATGACACCTATGCACAACGCATTAGAAACTATTCATTTCAGTTAAGATCCTCAGCATAGGCTGAGTTTCACCACCTAACTTTGACCGTAACTTTAACGATAACCAGTGTTTTTGTATGAAGTTTGACAGCTTTTTTGACGTTTGTCAAAGTTAAAGTAAGATGGTGCAATTCAGCCTTAGAATCCAACTGCTTCTTTGATCAGAAGCTGCTGCTACTAAACTACTGTTGATATTTACTAATTACTTGACCAACAACATAAGAAAATTCTTAATTAACTATAATTACACACACACCCTATCCCAAATGACTAACATTTCAGTCTTTCACATCTTCCAGTCGCAAACAAGTCCCCTTCTCACAAATTGCGTGCGAATGCACAATAATTATTAACATGCACATATTTTCGAGGCGCTTCCTCGTGTAGCATTATTGAGAGATAGAGATGAGCATGGCATATTCTGAATGAAACCACTTTGAATAAGCAAGCTGTACTATCTCGTGTATAGGTAGGTCGAAGAAAACCCACTATCGAAAAACAATCCTAAAAGGGTCAAGTTCAGGCAGATTGTAGTAACAACAAGGCCATTTGCAGCATTTCATGGATCTCCACTCCATCCACGTTGATGAACTGGGAAAAGGATAAGGATAGACCGCTGTAACATAGTAAACCTTTATGTACCACCTACGAAACCATAAATTAATATGGCGTCATACTTGTAGATGTACAAGATGTCATATAAGCGCTGAGGGAATGTTGATTCAAAGTAAATAAGATTTTAGAAACCTAGAAAGAAAGGGAGAGGATCATGAAGAGAAGCAAGCGTACTTCGGACGACCAAGTGGCCGTCGACCGGTTGGTCGTCCCAGGAACCGCTGGGGAGACCAAGTTGCGAAAGGACCTGCGCGAGCTCCATGTCGCTAAGTGGTGGGAGGTGAAGCAAAACAGATGAGAGAGTAGATTCTTATTAATGGAGGCCTAGTCTTTAGGTCGCTGTAGCATCTTAATTAGTTAGACACTGGGGGCAAGTTCTATGCAGCACACAAAGCTGCCACAACAACATACTTAGGCCTACCTCGGTTGTTAGAAGATATCATCTGAGCTTTCCTTAGCTGTATTATCTAATCTATCCGTTAATATGTTTCAACTAAAAGATTTTTAGAAGGTGTGGTGAGAAAAAAGCCTCCTAAAAATCATCCCTTAAAAAGACATCAACGCATTAAGCAAAATAAATGAAGACACATTTTTCTTCACTCACATTTTCATTACAAAAGACAACCCACCTAGGACCGTTGTCGGATTTCTGTTTAAAATACCTAATTGTGTACGTACCTGCAATTAGTAACATTATCATCATCATCATCATTTCAGCCATAGGACGTCCACTGCTGAACATAGGCCTACCCCAATCCAGCGGCTTCCTGCTACCTTTATGATGTTGTCGGTTCACCTTGTTGCAGTAACATTGTAAACGCATTGATTATGTACGACTACTACGTTTTAAAACTAAAATCATGAAACACATTAAGCTTAGGGGTGAGTAGAACGGACTCATGTGACAATTCAGCTATGAAGCGGAGTATTAGGCTTCTTTTGTTTTTCTTTTCTTGCCTTTACAAGTAGTGCTTAGTCTGCCTTCAGGAGTAGATTTTTTGATTATGATTTTCTTCATCTTCTTCTTCGTCGCTAACTCGCTACACCCTTGCCAGAGCGGTCGTGGTCGTCACACCTGGTTTGGTGGCAAGCTTTATAATCCGTCGCCATTCCTCTCGCACACTCGTGTTTCGCACTTTCTTGTACACCCGTGGAGTGATTTTGATCATGTACCTATATGGAGTTCGTAAACTTAGAAAACATTATGAATATGAGCAAGTGATTTACCTGAAAGAAAGTGGCTTAGGTTTTTTTGCCCAATGTATCGGATGGCAATACCTTCATTTGTTTCGTACTGGACAGCTTTCTTTGAAAAGGTACATTAGTGTCTAGACTCTAGGAGATGGTCCTTATTTGTTTATTGCGGAAAATCACGGTCCATTTTTTCGGGTGAGATGATACAATTACATTTTCAGCGATTCCTCGGAACAGATAACAAAAAATATCTTGTTAAAAATAAATTGTTTGAGAAATATTCAGTCATTCAGTAGCTGATGGTGATTGAAGTGTTTTTAGTTTCATTAAACCCGATATTTAAAACCAACAGATGCCGATTAAACTTTTGACAGTTGAAGCAGTTTAGGCCAAGCTTTAAACTCAAACTATTATTCAAATTAAATATGCAAATCGTGGGATCGAGTCCGTAAAGAATATACTTTATTATGTTGTTTGCTTTTTATAATTGTAGTCGAAATTGTGGCCTACAGGACCTACCTTAGCAGTTGTGGAACTGTGATAGTTTGTAATACCTACGAGTACAGTACAGTGTCAAATACACTCAACATCAAATAAACCGCACCTTCCGCGACGCGAACTTTAAAAATTTTCTTCTGACACAATCATGGTACCCCAACAATATTGGTGTTATTTGTAAGCCCAATAAATATCATTAAAGAAAAATACATTTTATTTGTAAATAAATGATTAACATATACCATAAATGTGACTTGAAAATAGACCTCACTTTGGGCTCACCTCTGGGATCAATTAAACCAATTTTTATGGTTATAAAACCAAATAAAGATCTCACGTATCCTCTTTAACAGATGGATAGCGATTAATCCCAACTTAACAGTTTTATAGTCATAAAAAATGGCTATAGCGTAACTACCTATTTTTTGAAGAAGTGACTCTGGATCCACACATTTTTGGGGTAAACACCTTTCCTTTAATGAAATGAAGTTTAGTACTAGGCTTTCAAATGGTACCAACGTTGTTGGGAAGTGGGGATGCATACGTTTGATAAGTGCTTGTCGCGGGAGGTGCGATTTATTTGATGCCGAGTGTAGTTCGTGAC